ATTTTTTTTGCTTTTATCACAAAATTTGGACTTTACAAGTTCAATATTATATTATTTGGATTATGCAATACTCTTGTAATTTTTCAAAAACTAATGGATGAGATTCTTGCCCTATTTAGAGAAAAATTTGTTAAAGTTTATTTGAATAATAATATTATTTTTTTCAAAATATTTAAAGACTATTGCATACATATCAATATTATTCTAGATGTTCTTAGGTAGACCAATCTAATATTAAACTTAAAAAAATATCACTTTTTTCTACTATATATTAAACTTCTTGGACACGAAATTAATTAAGAAGAAATTCAATCTGATAATGAAAAGATCAACAAGATTCATAATTATCTATGACCTACCACTATAAGACAAGTCAAAGGATTTTTAGAACTTATCTTCTATTATAAGAAATTTATTAAGAACTTTTTTTTAATTACTAAGTCTCTAAATCAACTATTAGAGAGAGATACATTGTTTGAATTAATAGAAGCCCAAGGAAAAGCTTTTGAATTCTTGAAGAAATATTTAATTACTGCTTCAATTTTAAGATATTTTGATTTTACCAAATTATTTTATATTCATATTAATGCTTCAGGAACTGGAATTGGTACTGTAATTACTTAAAAAAATGATCAAAATAAAAAATATACTGTGACATATACTAGTTACAGTTTAATCAAAATTATGTAACAATTGAACTTGAACATTTAGTTGTTGTATAGATAATAGAATACTTTTATTAATACTTAGAAACAAATTATTTCTATTTGATTATTGATTATTCTACTTTACAATGGTTAAAGACATATGAACTAAAAAAAAGAAGAGCAAAATAGATTTTTTGTTTGGAACCTTATAATTACTCTGTTATCTATAAAGTTAAAAAAAAGTATAACAATACAAATACAATATCCTAAATGTATGAGGATAAAACTTCTATTCTTATACTAGATTAAGATGCTTATCAATTATATATAGAGCTTATCTCTAAAAAGGATGAATCTTCAAGACCAAAATATTTTACAAAAGATCAAGAATATCAAACTGAAGACTATTAACTTATCGCTAAACAATATTGTAATATTTGTAATGAAAGAGTATCAAATCATTATATATATAATTATTATAAACAATGTCAAAATTTTTCTAATAAAAATAAATAGTTATTTAAAGCCAACTATACTTGTAAAAGAACAAAAAGAGATAACAAAAATCTTTCTGAATATACAGAAAACTCAGAATGAAATGAAATTATTTCTGATAAAATTAATCATGTAATTGAGACTTTTTTATTATTGATCAACACATATTGATGGCTTCTTGAGAATAAACAAGTTTTTAAAGAATATTTATAAGAATTTAATAATCTTTTCTTATAATACTTATACAATTCTGTCTAGTGAATAAGCATTAATCCTGAAACCAAATGCTAATTATTCTTAGTATCACTACATAAATCTAATACTAAAGAAAATATAGTTTAGATAGTTAGTGTCCTGATAAATAAACAGTGAAATGAATACTCAACACTATTATTACTTCAAAAACTATTTACAAAACAACAAACTATCATCAAATCTTAACAAAATACAATAATAAAAATTACAATTAAAAAGTAAATTTTTCAAAATTAAAAACAACATACTTTATAAGAAAGACAGAAGAAGAAAAGCATAAAATTAACTTTTCAAAATTTTATAAAAACATGAAATAGAATCAGTACTATATCTACTATATAACTATTCTACTAATGCATACTTAAATGTTGATAAAGTATTTGAAAAAGTTTGAAGTTAATATTTTTGGTCACAAATGGTTGAAGACATAAAAGACCATATTAAATCATATGATAGATGTCAAAGATAAAAAAAATATAGAATATCTGATCCTTTATATCCTATTTTTATTGAAGAATCTTTTTCAAAAATTATAATAAATATTGTTGATCCTTTACTATATACAAAAAAGAGCAATAAATATATTGTGATAGCAACAGATTATTTACTAAATAACTTGAAGCTGAAACAATTTCAGAAACAACAGGAAAATAAGTAATTAAATTTATATATCAAATCCTTATTTGCAAGTATAAATAAATATTCAAAATAGATATCTTTAGATTAAGAAACTTATTTTAGAAATGAAATAATTGATAATTTGTTAAAGAAATTCAAAATACAATACTTATTATTTATTTCATATCATTCTCAAACTAATGGACTAGTAAAATGATTTAATAGAACTTTATGTAAAGTATTGGCTAAACTAACAAAAAGATAAGAAAATTGGAATAACTATATTGTGCCAGTATTATTTATATACAGAACAATTAAACAATCCTTTATGAAAATAACTCCTTTTTACTTGATATATGGATGAAAATCCCAAATTCCTTCTATAGAAATAGATAAAGTAATAAAAGGAGACATCCTATTATGATTGTTTACTTTGATAAAAGAACTATCTCAAGAAAAAGAAGTTATCAGACAAAATATTTATAGAAATTAATAAAAACAGAAGGAGTATCATGATTAAAGAAAAAATCTAACTCTAATATTCAAAATAAGTAATAAAATATTAATGTATAATACTGTATGAGACAAGTATTTCATAGGGAAATTAAAATAAAAATAGAAAGGATCTTATTATATTAACAATATTCTTTTAAATAGTACTTATTAGTTGAGAACTTTGAATGGAAAAGTGTTAGTTGCTCTTATTAATATTTATCTTTTAAAGAAGTATTATAACTGAAAAGAATGAAAATCCAAATTGTTTTACAAGATTAGTAACTATCAAAATAATTATTTAATCTATGAAAACTATTTGAGCTACCCAAAAAAAAAAAAAGAATTAAAGATATTTAAGAAAAGAATAGAAAAAAAGATATAGTAAAATAGTAACAGTTCAAAAAATAAATTGTATCACTATTCCAATTGGTTTAGAAAGTATTACAACTATTACTATATGGTTTTAGTAATTAAATACTTTATAAAAAAACAGACTTAAAAGAATATATAAAAGAAAGACTTGTTTAATAAGAAGAAGCTTTTATGTTTTGCAATTAAAGAAGTCATTTCAGTAAATGAATTCATCAGTAAAGATTATTATTCTTTCTTTCTAGATCTATATATAAAAGGTAATAATGGCAACCTATCATGTTTTGAAGGTCTGATGAAAGGTTATCATATTTGTTACACAAAATGGAAATGGTTTTTTAAAGTCTATCTAACCAGTAGTACAAGTTTTCTATCTCTTCTTTAAGTTTCAATTGTTAATGGAATAAGAACTTTTAGTTTCTTTGAATAAAGAGAAAGTGGCAAAGATATGTTTTTGCTTGTGAACTTTTGATATGATAAATATTATTAATAATAGGTAAAATATATTATTTCAAAAATACAAAAGATATAATTCTTAAATACTGTATATCACATAAACAGATGAAGATCAGATAAGTTTTAACAAATATAAATATAGTATAAATCTTATATTAAGTAAAATTTAGATTAAATTGAAATAGACAAAATTATAAATAACATTCTTTGAATAATTAAAAGAAATCAAACAATTATAAGAAATAAAACTAGTAAATAAAAAAGTTTTAAGAATTAAACTTTTCAAGTTGGTTTAATAAAAATAATAAAACCTTGCTAAAGAATTACTGAAAAAAATTTTTTTAATTAAAATATCTGTTTTTTATTAAAATTATTATAATATATTTTAAAGTTAACTGACTTAAAATTTACAGCATATAATTTTATTATACTTATATTGCCTGTTTAAATTGATTCGGTAAACTCTAAAAAAAAAAAAAAAACTACTCATTTATATTGAAAAATAATTGAGACGATTAAATAAGGAATAATGATGTTTATTGACGTGCATATGGATTGATCAAACGATCAGATAGAAAAAAGATGTATTATAAATTCTGATAGCGGGTAAAGATAGTGTATGGAAAAAAGTTGGTACAAAATAGAACAAAGACAGATTACGAAGTATTTGTAGAACATGCCAGTTCTAAATTTTGATAGCGTGATTTGGAAAATTGTAAAATTGAAGGGGTAATATATTATTTCAGCCATTTTCAAGTTTTTTCTTTCTTCTATTTAGAAAACAAGCAATAAGTCATAATTATAATATTAATGTATTCTGAAAGTGTATGATAACAATGTGACGTCATTTTACAAATTAATGGTTGCCGTGGCGTTATTTTCAATGACAGCGTCCTAGAAAGTAACATCCGATTATTTTTCCTATATTAAATGCATATGTTTTCAAAAAAGAAAGGAACAAACAAGAAAAAAAAAACTAGAACACAGAAATTAGATAATTTCAAAGAGGTGTTTGTTTGCCAGATTTTTTGACTTGACAGAAAAAAATTTTACATTTTGTACAATGGTTAACTCGCCATCAACATTATTTGATGATTTTCGGGTGTTACTATTTAGGATGACTGTACAGTACATCTGAACAAGGAAATTAAAATCGGTATTACGTGACGTTGCTCTATATGCAAGAGAAAACAAACATAAAGTTGATGATCCGTTACATTGGTTTGTCTATATGTCGAATTTTTCTGCTTCGAACTTGTATAAATGCAACCAATCACGTTCTCGAAATTTCTTCTTCCTTTTCTCTATAAAAGCCATTCGATAATTAAGCTACTTCCAACATCAGTGTGTGCTTCCAGACATTTCACTAATCGTGTGAAACACCTAACTTTCCTTTTCGGCGTTTTTTTTTCTTAGTTGACACCATCATAAATGTCGCATCAGTTTGACTTTGACACATTCGACAATAAACTCATGTCTAATTCTTTCTCGACTTTTTCCGATACTATTCCGCAATTCACTCTTCCTTTCCCACCGAAAGTTAATGTCATTGAGATCGTGAACAAAAGGAATTTATCTCAAATTATGTCGAAAAGTCCCAATGCCTTTTTTATTTATAGAAAAGTGTTCTTGGAACATATTTCCTTGTCTAACCACGGCCTCAAAATGACCGAAGTGTCCAAATTAGTCAGCATTTATTGGCGTAATGAACCAGAAATGGTCAAGGAAACTTATAAGAAGATTGCTCATGACGTAGAATTGGAGTTGAATGAAAGACGAAGAAGAAATGCTTCGTTTTGTAGGGTGGCTTGGAAGAACCCAGAACGTAAGAAAGAGCGTGGAACTTCAATTAAGAAAAAAAGGAAACTTAATGATCTTGATTCTGGAACTATAACACCTGATGCGATTTCGAATCAATTCGACAATATTTACGAGGTTTTTCCTTCCTCTCGTGAAGAAACAAATCTTTCTTCGAATTCCGAAACTCGTAAAAATTCGATCGACAAAACTGCAGCTGTGGGTGACTCAACAGAGGTCATTGAGTACGGCGCACCCAATAGCAATGTAATGAATATCGCAGAGTTTAATTTTCCTTATAAAATAGATGACGATTTCACAAACTTCGAATACGACAATAAAATTGCTTTCTATTTACAAAATTTTTTAGAATAATGTTATTTACAAAAATATCGAACTCATGTAATCGTACATGTCTTTTATCTTAGTTCCTTTTAAGTTACTTAAGTTACTTTTTATGGAATTTATGAGCTAAGTTTTTTATAGTTTGTATAGTTTGTTCTATGTTGTGTCCGGCGATATTTTAAATAAAAACCATAATCACGTGATCAGATATACAGTATACCGTATTTATTACGGAGAATTTTTTCCGCAATAAATTCAAAGTTACCACCAGTACATACAACGTATTAATCGACTTTATTTCCTTAAACAGTAAGTCATTTGAAAGCATAGTTTTTATAAATAAAGAAACAATTAATCTATAAAAACATAGATTGGCTATATTATTAGAAACATTTATTATAATATAAAAATTATTATAATTTACTTTAATATAAAATATTTATATTATAAATATTGTGGCTTACAAAAGTTTGAAATCATTTGAATAATTTATAATTTTTAAATTTATAATTATATTTTCAAATTACAATTTTCAGAAACTTAAGAATTCCGGTTGATAATTTTTGATATATAGTATATACAATTGTTTCTAAAAGTTCAAGTTTACTTATTATATCTTTATTATAAATTTTAACTTTATCAATTTCAAATTTTTAATTATTTAATTAAAAATTATATAGTTTTATTATTGTTAAATTTTTTGTTTTTTTTTTGTTTTTTTTAATTCACAATTATATCAATATAATTTGTTTTTTATTATAAATAGATTATCATATTTACATAATATATGATTTTTATATATTAATTTATCTATTTATAAAAAAAAAATTTTTTATTGATCCTTTAATAATATATAAAAAAATATTTTTAAGATGTTTTTTACTTCTAAGTTAATAAAATCTTATTACTTTTACTAAAATAACTTGAAAAATAATATCAATAATCATAATACTTAATGAAACTCTTTCTATTAATCTTCTAATCATACACAAAAAAGACATTTGCAAGAAACTATATATTTTTTAACTAATAAAATCTTACTACTTTCTTTAAAACAACTTTAAACTTGTCTTCAAAAGTCATTATTGCTCTTTCTTACTTGTTTATAAACTCTTTTTAACAAAAACTTGTGTTTCTAATAGCCTAAAGAGACTTAAGTGTATATTTTCTTTATTAAAGATAAGAAGATTCTAGAAATAAAAAAATCAACTGTTAAAATATCACTTTTCATAACTGGAAGTAATATAAAGATAGAGGTTTTCTAGGTATGGATGACTTATTATTTATCATCTTATATATTGTTTCTTGCTTTTTTAAAATGTCTATAGTTTTTCATAGCTTTTTTGAGAAATTTGTTTACTCCAGCTTATTTCTAAATTTCTTATAGCCTAATATTACCTAATTTCTGATTGGTTATTATAAAATATATTGGTAACAAAATATAAACAAGGTTTTGTTGACCATGATCAAATATTTTAATAATGTTATTAGGCTATTATAATGAACATTAAATTATTTAGATAATAAAAAAGTAATTATTTGTTCAAGTCGAAACTTTCAACTTCTTATCATCCCAGTCAAACAAAATATGTAAAAAAAGTTATTTTTTTATCCTGATTAAGCTATAAGATCAAAAAGCAAAGAAATATAAAACATTGTCTTTTTCTAGAATTAAAAATATATTTTTTTAAATATTATATAATAATATTATAATTAACAAAGATTTTTATTACTAATTATATTTCTCTCACTATTACAAAGCAAAAAAATAGTTGAGAAATTTGACTTTTTGAATAATAAAAGATATTTACTAGTAAAATTTTTTTAATTAGATATAGTTGTTAAAAGATATCAAAGTTATATAAACATAATTGAAAAATCATATAAAAATCTGGAATTTACCATCAGTTATTCTATTTTTTTGTATATATAGATACAAAATCAAAATTAAAAAAAGAAAACATTAAACAGGATACTGAATCTGAGTAAATTATAAGTACAATATCTCAGATAGTTGCAAGAAAATAATTAAGATTACAAATGAATAAGTTTCTCAAATAAAAATATATATATATATTTTAGAAGAATTAATTTCTAATAAGAGAAGGATAATCAAACTACACAACTCTTTCCCGTTTATCTGTGGCACAGCAGGAACTAGAAAAACAAACCATTATGAGTAGAATAACCAGGAGCGCAAGCTTCAACTTCAGGCCTAACTATAATGAAAATAGTAGAACTAAGGGCAAGGCTGATCCTATCCGAATAGAAGCAAGACCAACACAGGCAAAGAAACCCAAATCTCCCATACCAGAAACAATATCTCCAACACGAAAGACAATGACAACTAGAACAGAAACCAAAATCAGCATCGCCACTTAGGACACACCCTCCTTATTCTCAAGGCAAGTTTCAAACAATAGCCTATAAAGCAACCTAGTCGAGAAAGACTTGACTGCCTCAGTAGAGAAACCCATCAACCAACAAACCCTTCAGAAAATGAAAGGTAAAAACTGGGAAGACCCTAGCATTTCTACCTCACAGAAACTAACTGACATAAACTCTGACGTCGACATGATGGAGGAAGATGACACCATAGGAAATAAAGCAGATAACAATCACAAACCACCCACTAACAGTAGTTCCGAATAGCAAATCCAAAGAACCAGGCCACATAGGTCTCGCCCAAAATCTCCCTTTGATCCAAACACCAAATACGGCAGAACAAAATGCAAAGTAAGCATAGAAGCTCAGGATGTCCCTGGAGAAACCACTGGAAAAAAAATCATCTTCTTAACAAGAGCTCTCAGCTCTCTCGAAAGACTTCTTAACATTCATGACGAAATCGCCAATAGTACCAACTACATCACTGCCCTCTTTGGAGATCAGCAAGCAACACAAAAAGCCACAATTATCAACTTACCCAATATGAACAACAAGTATCTCACTCACATAGATCTCAACAGCTACGAGATCAAAAAGAAAAATAGTATCAGGATATAGAATATACCCCTTTTGTAAAAGACTTTATTTCAATAAGTCAGTGAACAATTGTTATTTGACCAACAAGACAACAACGTTGTTTTATTTCAGGAGAGACTTTTCCTCTCTATATAAGAATCTGGCCTAAAGTACTTTTTAGTTAAAATAACATAAATAAATCTATAAATACAATAATTAAAAATACATAAATCTTGACATAACGGATGTCCAGACTTATGGGGCTATAATATAACTTAAAAAGAAAAACAAGAAGAAAAATAATAATAATAAAAGAAATCTATTGGTTCACGCTACTACTGTTTACGGGGCTAATTTCTATTCTGGGGAAACAAGACAAATTGACTATAATGAAAGGCACTTAGCCCGGGATCGCTAAAGATGATCTCGGATGATGTTATACGAAATGTCCAAAAATAGTAGACAAGGCGGACTTCGGGTCCATAGTTACATAGAGTCATGTATACTTACACAGAATTGATAGGGACAGGCACGGATTCGTTACACCTTTACACAAGACTCATAGATGTACAACTCATCTTCGTAAAATTTGGACCGATCAATAACATCACTATGAGGACCCAGCAACTATGGCAATCTGCAACTATTATTCAAAACAAGAATGACAAAATTAAAATGGCCAACCAAGGAAGCACACTCATCAAAGGTGATGCAGTTCAGATCTTCGATGCCACACTCAACATGAATCAAATAAAAGAACAGATATTGATTGTAGCAAAACTAACTGGCCTCCCTCCAAACACTACAGTCTTTGACTTGAAAATCATCTGCCAACAAATCAAAGCCAGAACATGCTACATCCCAAGACAAATAAACTATAACAGGAAAAGATTTGCAATCCTTAGCTTCAAAAATGACACTACTCTACAGAAAGCATTGAACAAGACCTTCACCTTGCAGGAATATAGAGACTAAACTCTGCGCAATTTGTGATCAACATGGCTACCTCGCCGCACAATGCCCTAAAAAAGAAACATGATAACAGTGGTCCGATTACAACAAAGATCAGGCTGAATGATTCGAAAAATTATACATCCGTTACAAACCCCCTGGAAGTTAAAACATTCGCAAACACACCCCTACAAGCCAACAAAAGAGATACCATGGGTCATATGTGGCAGCCCTCAAAGGCAAGAAAGAATCAACACAAAGTAATCAGAATGTGACTCTGACAGAGATTCTTTTAGCAATCAAAGAAATCTGTGCCGAAATCGCTAACATAAAGACAATAATAAACAATCTAGATAAAAGAATTACAAACTTGGAATATTACGATAAAGAGTATGCAGGGGCAATAGAATAAGATCAAGATATCACAGAAGAACACCAGTCGTCCAACACAAATAACACAATCCTCCCTTCCAGCCAACAAAATATTCAGGAAACACAACAGCAATTGCACTCCTTCATCGATAAGATGGATCACAACATGAACACGATTATGAATACTATAACCTCCCTCATTCCAAACAACTCCATCAATCCTTACAATCATAAATAATGGATAGTAATCATAGCAATACCAAGAATGAGCGTGAACACAATGAACAAAATAACAAACTACACTCTCAACCAACAACTGAAAATAACACCAACATCACCCAACCAATAACTATAAAAAGAATCAAAGTAACAGAAACACTATTTCCACGAACTTCACATTCAACATGAACACATAACACAATAGAACAACTACATACAAAAAAGATAGATAATGATAATACTCACAAAAGCAAAACAGACAACTGACCCTATATCGCAATCACCACCCTCGACTAATAATGGGTCCCTAAAGTATTTAGCATGTAAAATTTTGCAGATCACTTATGTCCTTTTTTTGAGGGACAAAATTCATGGCTCTTCACTTTAATAGGGACAAAAGTCAAGAAATATTATAAATCAATGATTTAGATAATAGAGAACAATTGTGGATAGTTTTTTTATAGTTGTTAATTTAAAAATTTCAATGTTTCCTAGTGAGGGACATTTGACTTATGTCCCTGCCTCCCCCTTTAGGGACCCATCTTTACCCTCAACGTTGCAGGCCTCAAAGAATCCCTAAAATGAGACCTTTAGATAGAATCCTGGAAATTAAACGAATGGGACATTATTATTTCAATAGAAACCAACCAGAATACTGATAAGCCATCTTGGAAAGCCCAACACTATACAACATGGTGGAAAGGAATAGGCAAAGGTACGGAAGTAGGCATTGCACTTAGACATGACCTTGCAGACAGAGTTATCAAACTACAAAGATTCAAAGGCAGAATCCTCGTCATGGATCTCGCC